CATCATCATCATCATCATCATCATCATCATCATCATCATCATCATCATCATCACCACCACCTCCAACATCATCATCACCACCAAACGTCTTAACGTTGGCACTCATATGACCTTATGCAGTTGCGAGCGCCGTAAAAACCCTCTACTTTAAAACAATAAATAAATAAACGTCTTAACTTGAACAGACATTGACACTCACAGATCCACATCCATCCCTACCTCTCTGTCATGCGAAGCCCTCATGAATGAGTTGTTGTTCATTGAGATGCTATAAGTTACTCAAGTCAGTGTATGGGCTATTTATAAATCGTGTGCTGATGTTTCTAGCTTTTTTCCCCTTCGGATATAATTTGTGGGGCAGCGTGGTGGAATCAGGCTCTCGTCAAAATAATCAAAGTGAAGAAACTTGCATTTTTCCGCAGGTTTGTGAAATATTTTCAAATATTTTTTGGGGGGGCTTAATTCCTTTCATGCCCTTTAAAGAACTCATTTCTGTGTGGATTTTTCTGGGGAAAAAACGTTGATTAAAGGCACAAGAATGTAAATTTTCAGTTACCACGGACTCTTTAGCAAAGGAAATAACTAATCTTAGGCGGGCATTTTCTCACTAATTTTACTTAAAAAACAGGTGACCCCCACCTCCTTCTTTCGCAAATATCTCGACTTGTATTCAAGATAAATGGATATGTTTTTCATGCAAATAAAGACAAGTGAACAAGCTTTAAGATGATGCCAATAAATCTACATGCCTCAAAATTGACGAGAGCCTGATTCCACCACGCTGCCTCACATTTCCAGTCAGCCCTTTCCTCTTTGCGTGTACATGCCGTATGGATTTCATCTGTCATTCCTTTATTGTCTCAATGGGCGATCGTTTCATGATTGCCATTAAAAGTTCTTGCTGATTTGTCGTTATTCTGCCCATGATATTTTCAGCCATTATTTTATAAGCCACATTTCTGTTGCTTCTAATTTTCATTTATAATAAATGTTGTTCTGCCCCCCCTCTCTCTCTCT